TGTTAGGCGTTAGAACATCAAAGGTAGGTAAGAACCAGCCCTGTGTAATAGTGGAGACAGACACAAAACAGATCATTTCAATATGACATAAACTTTTATTTCTTTTTACGTATGCAAATAATCTATCTCAGACCTCTCTTCTTGAGTTTCAGAATCGTTCATCCAATGCCATGTATCTGGACACTGTCATGTGTATGTTTCACAGGCATGTTGAGCTAGGTATATCCAAAACTGAATCACCAGTTACCTCCCAAGTGAGTCTGCCTCCCTGTTAACTAAATCAGAGACTGGCATCCCATTTATCTGAGTACTCAAGCCAGAAAATTTCATTCATATTTATCAAGCATCTCCAATGTATTAAGATTTATGCTAAGCTGTGGATACATGACAGCAAACAGGGTAGTCCCTGTCTTCACTAAAACTTGTTTAAGAAATTCTATGGACCAGGCACGGTGGCTCACACCTATAATCCCAGCACTTTGGGAGGCCTAGGAGGGTGTATTACAAGGTCAGGAGTTCGAGACCAAGCCTGGCCAGCATGGCGAAACCCCATCTCTACTAAAGATACAAAAAATTAGCCGGGTGTGATCACGCCCCTGTAATCCCAGTTACTTGGCAGGCTGAGGCAGGAGAATTGCTGAACATAGGAGGCGGAGGTTGCAGTGAGCCGAGATGGCACCACTGTACTCTAGCCTGGGATGGAGCAACTCCGTCTCAGGAAAAAAAAAAGAAACTCTATCCTCGATTTCTCCCACTTCTGCCCTCACAGTTCAGTCAGTCACCAAGTTTTTCCACTTCTACGACCTAAAATTCTTCTGAGATCTATTTCTATCCACACTGGCAATACCCCAGTGTAAACTGCCATCTTTCTTTCTCTGAATTACTACAATTATCTCCTAACTGTTTTCCTTCCTGCTGGTATTGCCACTCTTTGAGTAGCCAGAGTCATCATCTAAATACTAACCTAATCCTGTTGAAACCATTCAAACTTACTATTAGCCTTAGAAGAAGTCCAAACTTTGTTACATATTCACTAATGCTCTTCCTGATCTGGTCTCTGTTTACCTCTCCACCCTTGTCTAGAATCTCTCAGTTCCTAGACTGTGTTCTTTATAAACATTGCTAACCTCTATCTAAAACACTTGTCTTTTACCCTTTCAATTCCTGGCTATTCTCAAACATGGAGCCAATCAGATGGAATTGCCTTTTTTTCCCCCTGTGAGAATGTAAACTCTGTGAGGAAATTATTAGATTGGTTATTGCCATATTTGCTTGTTCATTATTATATTTACAGTATCTAGCTCAGTATCTGGCAAAAAATAAGGGTTTAATGAATATTTTCTGAATGAATCCATGAACGTGAAGAAAGCACAGAGAAAATTCAACCAACTCCAACTATGGAATAAGGAAAGGCTTCTTGGAAGAACCTTAAAAAATTAGTAAGGATAAGAAAGAGTCAGCCAAAGAAAATAAAGAGAGTCCAGACAAAGTCAACAAGAATGCGAAAAGGTCTCAGGTATAAAACAGCCTCATGAATGTGAAGTGGGTAGAAGGGAAGATGGTACTGGAAAGGGAAACAAGACTGGGAAGAAAAACAGTGGCAACACGACGAAGACCCTAGCACACCAGCCATGGAGTTGAATTACCTTGAAGGCGACTGCAGAGGGGGATTAGAACTTTAAGGAGGCAAGTGAAATAGATTTACATTTGAGACTGGTCATTCTGGCTGCTACTTACTAGATGAATTTGGTGGTGTTGGTAGGGGTGGTAGTAGTTATGGCCAAAGGCAGTGAGATGAGATAGAATTGGGAGTCCAAGTGAAAGGAAAGGACGAAGTAGAGTTTGAAGGGCTTGTGAGCCTCCCAAAAGTCTGAACGTCAAGGAAGAGGTCAGAATGGGATCCATGAGCAAATAGGTTAAAACAATGAGTGGATAATGCCCACAGGGAAGATACAGACAGAAAACAACTCAAGGTTGGAACTTTGGGAAATACTATTTAATGGGGAGGCGGAGGAAAAAGGACCCCAAAGAAGCATGAGGCAGGTAGAAAAAGATGGGAGAGATGCAAAAGGAGTTTCAAGGAGAATTTGAGCATGATACCAAATGCAGAAGCAAGGTCTAGAACAAGAACAGTGGTCATACATTGGTGGAGGAAGTACATTTCATTTTCTGAGATAGACAAATAAGACAGGTGGATATATGTGGCACTGACAGAAGTAGAAAGGCAGGATATTATATGTTGTATGATAGCTTTAATTTTCTCAATTAATTGGAAAAAAAGTGCTGGGATTGCCTGTGGCCCCTATGGAATCTCTATTCATAAGAATGGGTGCCTGATGGCAAGTAAAGTGTAGGACCCAATCTTAGTATTTCACTTATTCCTACCACATTAGATCAAGCGAATCAACTTTTTGTCCCTATTGATCTATGAAACAAAGTAGAAATACCAATTTGGAACCGCTGTCACTTAAAAACAGAGATTTGTTTAAAGCACTAGATATCACAGCATCACCAATTGCATTAAAGATAGTCCGAGCTCTAGACTGCCACACTCCCTCTGGAACATCCCCCCATCTTGTCACTCAAAGGTCCGTTCAGTCCTTACAGGCCTGCCATCCAGAATGTAAAGTGTAGTCTAGAAAAGGAACATGAAATCAAAATTAGAAAGGCAATAGGCACAACTAATTGCAGATGCATACGAATGTGTTGAGCTTGAAACACATCTTTAAGACTACTCTGGTCACTTTCTATTAAAGAGAGAAATTTAGGTTGGGAAGAGGAATGATAAAAGGGTAAAGTTTTTGAGAAATTGCTGAAAGTTACAAGACAGGAAATTGCTGATGATAAATTAAATGACTGTCAGGAATCAAAGAAAGAGCTGCAGATGGAGACTGACAATCTGTTATATGTCACTTTGTATCATTTTCTCCAGTGTTTCCAGCTAAGGATTTATAGACAAGATTCAGGGATAAGATTTTGACAGGCACCTGTGTCAGAGGCATCAGACAGAGGGAGTTTGGATGCTGATAAACCATGCAGTCTAGGCTGGGAAGGGTGGTATTGGTGGGAGGGCTCACAGGGTAAACGAAATAGAAGGGCAGATGTAGCGCATGTGTGCTTATAAAATAATGATGCTGCCATCAGAAAGAATACTAGAGTTAAGTTTTCTGCAATAGTCAGTGTTTTTATGGATGATAACAAAACTCTTAGACTAATGTCGAGGGTGAGAATTCTGCTGTTCCATCTTCTACCTTACAGTGACCAGTATCAGGCAACTAAAAGTTTTAAAAAGTCAGATTTAACCCTCTAATTAAGAACATTTGAATAAACACTCAATTTTTCAATAAATAATTCACTTCTAATATGACTATCAATTTATCACATCAACAGTAATATTAATCCCCCCCAAATAAACAATATGTATTACAGATGCAACAAAATGGTTCTCTTGCTCTTTCTTCCTTTGTCTTATTTTTCTCTTTCTCCACAGTCCATTCTGATCTTGGCTTTCACATAAATCACTTGTTTTCTTTTGTCTAGACTCTCAGCAACAATTTAGACATTTGTTGAGCACTCACCACTTGCCAGGTATTTTACCAGGGACCATGTATAAATAATAATAGTCAAAATAACAGCTAATACTTACCAAGTACTCACAATTTTGCTAGGCACTTAATTAAGCACTCTACAGGAACTAATTCATTTAATCCTATAAAGCAGATAGAACTGCCACCCCTATTTTAAAGATGCAGAAACCAGATCAGTTAGGTTAAACAGCTTGCCCAAGTCCACCTAGGTAGTAAATGGTGTAATCGGGAATTTCAATTCAACTCCCTTCAACGGTAAGAGATCTGCTGTCAGCCACTAAGCTATGATTCCCTTCCTTGCCTCTAAGGACATATGATTTGGTGGATATGCATGTATAAGTAATCAATTTGATTTGGCAAGTTTCAACAAAATAGGTCTCTTTTTTCTGCTTTTCTTACTGGCTCTGATATTATTTAAAAATCTATTTTCTTAACCTTCTTTTGCATTTTACTAGATTCTGACTTTGAGACTTACATCAGTAAATAGACATAGAAAGGAAAAACAAAGGCCCTGAACTACTGAATCTGAAGTGTATTTTTATTTAGAATTGTCATAGACTATTATATCAATAGGTTTACTCCTTCAACCCCCACGACAAAGCACTGGAAGTTGTGTCTACATTCAACACAACCTTTCTGGCACTTTTCTTTCACATAATTCAGTTCAGGCTCCCCATTCAACACACGACTGTCACCAGATGACGCTCTACTCTGTGACCAGATATAAGTCTGATTACATCCTCTCGTGACCCAAACCTCAATAAAACGTAATGGTTTTCTCCCCTGACAACCAGGCCTGCCATGGCTTCCTAACTTGTATTAAGTGCAGTGTTCCCACTCTTGCCAAAACAAACAAACAAAATGCCCTGTAAAAAATACAGATTTCAGGGCCCCTCATGAAGAATCCAACTCACTCAGGAATGTACAAGTTTAGGGAACAGTTCAGTGGTGGAAAACAACCGGTGTGCCTGACTCCTGCTGAGGGCTGATCGAAGAGGGAGAAGCTAAAAATCAGAACTCGTTTTTACTTTAGACAGTTGCACTTTCTGTGTAACTTCTAACAAATCACTTCTCTCTGAGTCGTTTTCTTTTCTGTAAAAGGGAGAGGATTTGATAAGATGAACTGTTACGTTCCTTCCACCTCTTGAAGTCGTGCTTATGAGCACAGAATCAGACAACCTGTGTTCATATCCAAGATATGCTACTTGTGAACTACTGTATGCAGAGAACTGCATTCTCTGATTCAGAGCCCTCATCTGAGGAGATAATGATAGTATCTCTCCACTCCCCCTTTCTCCTCTTTAATGAAGTCTGAGATGATGGTTAAAGCATCTAATAGAACCTGGCACATAATCAATGTTCAACAAATTATTATTACTCTGGAATTCTATAAATTAACCCTGTCCTTACTACCTTGTCACTCTGAATTTAGTGAAGTTTCTTCCACTTGGTTTTGCTCTTCAACTCGGACACCAAAACGCTCCAAGTGCTGCCGGAAGTCACGCAGAGCTGGGCTCGACCCCAGACTCCTCCCCGAAACCGCGGCTCTCCTACGTCCTGCGGAATTCAGGTTCCGACTCGACGCCAGCTCCGCGAGCGATGGTTCCGCCTTGCGCCCTTCCCCTTCCATGGCAACTCCAGCCCCACCCGCCTGGAATCTCTTGAGCCCAATCAGCATCCGTCGCGGGTGGAAGTGGGCTTAGCGGAACGGGGCGGGACTTCCAGTAGGAGGCGGCAAGTTTGAAAAGTGACAACGGTAGACGTTTGCTGATTTTTGGCTTTGCTTGTAGCTGCTCCCCAAACTCACCGCCTTCCTGTGGGTGGCCGGTGCTGCAGGTGAGTGCGAGAGGATGGAGGAAGGGAGCCTGCGGGCGCCTTCTCCATCCCAACGCGCGGGCAGAACGCTGTGGTGTGGGTCGGGACGCCGGGCCTGGAGATGTTTTCGTTGTACTCAGCGGTGGGAGGAGGCTGAAGAAACTAGCGCTTGGGAGGTGAGGGGCGGGCCCATCGTTACTTTTTATTTAATTTTTGTACCAGAAACAACCAGAGCTTAGTTCCTCCGAAACTAATGAATGTTTTCTGGGGCAGCATAGACCGAAGAAGACGAGCTTGAGCAGAAATTGTTCAACTTAGGTTTACATTTATGTGTGATTTTTGGAAAGGTGGTGGTAATGTGGCTTGTTTGGCTGCAGATGCTTGTCAGCTTTTTATAGATCTCCGTTGCCAAACGTCTTCTAACCGAATTAAAAACCATTAATGAAATGGCAAAAATTTCACACTTAATCCAAAATTCGAAGGAAGAGAGTAGCGCACATATAGCACTACGCATGGGTAACGCGATCATTTTTTCCCCTCCTTTAAAAGTTCAAGGAATGTTTTACTTAATTTATCGAAATTGGAAGTCATCTTTGTTTGTTTTAATCTCTGCCTTCTGGAACTGTGATGCCCATAAATAATTTATTTTAACAAAACAAAGTGTGTAAAATTTAACGGGTAAACTTTTGTTACCTACTCTGCTCAGCATCGTAGTGCTGCAAATAAATGAGAAACCAGAGAGTAGTTAGTAATCTCTGCTATTCTACTCGTTAGAGGATTGCTGCATATATATTAAGTCATTTATGTGCTTTATCCCACCTGGAACCTCAGACTATGTAGTTGGAAGGTGTCTTTCTTCATCTCTCACTCTCCATACACACACGTTAATGAATAAATTGTAACTGAAACTGCACTTTGAAAGCATGATAGAATTTGGATTTTGGAAGAGGTTCCAAAAGGAAATATTGGAAGTTTGGGAAAGTTAGGAGACTAACTTGGAGCAGAAATTTCATTCAATTACTAAAGGTTTTAGAAGCCTAGCAGAAAAATGTGAATTTAATGTGGTGGGTAAGGTAATTGAAGTGTTTTCATACAAATGTTATATGATGCATTGTGTTTTTATAAGGATTAATCTGATGGCAGAGTGACAAACATTCGAGAAGAGAGGAATGAGTGATAATAATTATGAAGATCTTTTATACCTACACTTTCTATTGCAGTATTCTCTATTTCAGATGTAGCTTGATTTGGAAAAGTGACTTTTTCTGAAGTCTTTCTTTGGTCTGATCCTTTAATGAACAGTTTTTAAGTCTATGACTTAGATGAAAATGTAGAATGCATATTTATGCCGAAGGGGACATCTAATAATATGTGATGCATCAGAATCTAGATTCCAAAAGATCCTAGCTCTGTTGCCTGGCAAGGTGTCTCACGCTTGTAATTCCAGCACTTTGGGAGACTGAGGTGGGAGGATCACTTGAGCCCAGGAGTTTAAGACCAGCCTGGGCAACATAGTGAGACCCCATCATCACGCACGCGCACACACACACACACACACACACACACACACACACACATTAATTAGAAGGGCCTGGTGGTGTGTGCCTGCTGTAGTCCCGGCTACTTGCGAGGCTGAAGCAGTAGGATAGCTTGAGCCTGGGAGGAGTTTGAGGCTGCAGTGAGCTCTGATTGTGCCACGCTGCACTCCAGCTTGGGTGACAAACAGACCCTGTCTCAAAGAAAAAAACAAACAAAGGTCCTAGCTCTAAAAGGAAAGCTTGCAATCATGAAATTTAGTGGTAGAAAGTAACCTTGCCTAAGGTTTAAATAATCAGTGTATACAACAGCAACACAAGTGACACAGCAGATGTGACCAAAAAGAGAGAGAGAGAGAGAGAGAGAAAGGGAAAAAAAGGAACAGGCAGAAGCCGGAGCTTTATATAAGTGGGTCATGATGAAGTTACTGGAGTTTCGGTTGATAAGTAAGAGCTACAGCAGAGGCCATTAATACTGTGCCCTAGGCAGACCATATTTGGAGGGTCATGTCCAGTTTGGGCATTACATTTTAAGAAGACATTTACAAAATAGTGTGTGTTAGAGGAAGATGGATAAGTTTGTGGTTTCTAAACCAATGTCATAAAAGGGATATTTTAAAGTTATATATAGTCATATATAAAGAAAGTATACATACTTTAGAGAAGGGAGGGCTTAGCAGAGGTGTAATAGTTTTCTTTACATTTTTGAAAGAAAATGGTGTCATGTAAACAGATTAATTCTATTATTAGTATTCTACTCAGTTGCAGTGACTATACATAGGACCAGGAGGTAAAATTACAACAAAACATATTTCCACACAGTATGAAGAAGAGTTATTTAATTTGGAGCCATAATAAAGTGGGAAAAAGTTAGATTGAGAGTTAGTGAATTATGTGATGTTGTCACATGTTCAAGATGAATTGGGAAGTTATTTGTTAATTGTTGCTTAGAATGGTTTCCATTCATTAGAGGTTAGGCAAGTTGCCAAAGCTTCTTTTTACCCTAAGATTCTAAAAAACATTAGGAGCCTAAAGAAATAGATTTCCAGAATTGTGGGCCATTTCAATTTGTTTGCAAAATTGAATATATTCACCTTGGGTCTCTGAGATCGTTCTGTTTCACTAGAGAGTAGGGGATCTGAAGGTAACACAATAGGTTTTTAAGTGAGTAGCTGAGAGCAATAGCAGTGGCTGCCATTGCTGCTCATTTTCCCTTTGCTGTTACCTTGCTATTTTTCTGGTTACAGTGAGAGATACGAAGAAAATGAAAAGATCCTAGCTTACTGTAATGGCACAATGTAGTGTCAGAGTTCTTTAAACATATATCCAGTACATTGCAACAAGTATTATAACAGGGTTAAATGCAAAGCTCTAGGACAAAGTTCCCTTCCCTTTTCCCTTCTCTTTTCTCTTTCCTTCCCTTCCCTTGGGCTCAAGTGATTCACCTGCTTTGGCCTCCCAAAGTGCTGAGATTACAGGTACAAGTTTTTTTTTAACATCACCCTTGTATGTGGGTGCCCCATGTACCAGCAGTGAAGAAAGAGTGAGAAAAGAAATAAGATAGAGACAAGGGTAGAAGTTCACAGCATGGGTCCAGGGGTCCAGGGTGAACTGGGATGGCCTTGAGCGCTGGGCTCCACATGCTTTTTATTGGGTGCATTATCTTGTCAATCTTGCAGACTGGGCTGTGGGGAGGGGAGTTGAGAAGGAAGGTGGCCAGGGGAAGAGCTTGTGTCTGTGCGGTTCTTCTAAGAAATGCTAACTAAGACACTGAGTTTTTACCACACATTGTCTATCCAGTGCATTTGCAAAAGAGGCACAGTGGCTACCTAAGGTCTGACCACACATAATAAATCAAGGGGTTTTTATATCCACATTGAGGGCACAGAGCAATCAGAATTACTCCATATTCTGAGAACACAGGCAAAACTTTTCTGTCCTGCAAGCTCCCATCTGCAAAGACCCAAGTCTTGTGAGCAGAGGTTGCATTCCTTCCCAGAGTTCTTGCATAAGAATATTTGATCCATGGCACAAATCTCAGTGTATAAAAAGCAAAGTAAATCTGTAATCATTTAACTATAAGTAACACAGTTCTGCCCCCTGGCCATCTTTTCCTACATCTATTGACCTTTGAACTCGATAATTCTTTGCTGTGGGGGCCACCCTATACATCGTAGGATGTTTGGTAGCATCCCTGGTCTACCCACTAGATTCTAGTTGCAACCACACTCCCGTGCTGACAACCAAAAATGTCTCCGGCCATTGCCAGATATGCCCTTGGGGGGTAAAGTTAGAGAACTACTACTCTAGGGAGACACAGGTAGGAATAACTTACTATGTGAAGACTTTAGAAGAAATGGTTATTCGTTCCTCTTAAAGTTCTCACTCTGGTGATAGGAATTCCTACCAATTATATCGTCTGTTCTTACTCTGGTTTTTTTCTCTCTTCTACTTGCATCTAAAACCTTATTAGGTATCTTACTATGTATATATTGAATAGGATGGCAAATCAGAATACAATTTTTTATGCCCCTGTTGTTTATATATAACTTCTGCTCATGATGTTGCCTATATGCCTTGCTTTGAGAATTATCAGGATGGGTCTTGTTAAGCTCCCTGGCCCCCAAATGTAAAAGAGAACCCCATGGTTTCTCATCTACCTATTCAACCAAAGCCCTCCTTTCCACATAAAAGAGAACAGTACTAAGAAAAGGAGCAGAAAATAACTGTGTCACTTTAGAATAAAAGTCATCTTGGGATACATATATAAATACTTGTCTTTATCTTACTGTTTTATGATAGTTGATACTACTATGAATAGTTCAACTTTGGCTCATTCATTTTGTCCTTGTATTTATCCGTTTCTAGATAGTGAGAGCTACTGATATGTGGTATTTCTAATATCTTTTTTCTTCTTTCAGATTAACAGGAAACTTCCAAGATGGAAACTTTGTCTTTCCCCAGATATAATGTAGCTGAGATTGTGATTCATATTCGCAATAAGATCTTAACAGGAGCTGATGGTAAAAACCTCACAAAGAATGATCTTTATCCAAATCCAAAGGTAAAAGGTGGTTATGTTTGCATATGGATAACGGTATTTAAGAAAAAAGTAACCTACTAGCTCTATAGTATGGCAAAAAAGGGATATGCCCTCCTATTTGATAGAGACCAGTCATTTTCATCAAGAAGGAATCTCTC